TTTTTTTTTTTTTTTTCCTTTCTCATTTTTCCTGTTCCCTGTTTACTCTCCCACGTTCCCATGCCTCCCCGAAGAGACCCCACGCAGAGCCGCTGGGCCACCCTGTGCCAGGGCAGGGGCTGATGCTGCGGGGCTGGGGGGGCTGGCGGGTGCGAGGGGACTTGGAGATTTGGGGGTGTGCGGTGGGGGGTTGCAGTGTCCCGGCGGAGGGACGCTGAGCCGCCAGCAGAGGGCACAGAGCGCCTGCGAAATACAGCGGCTGCAATTCCCCTACTTGAGATCTTTTTCCCTTCCAGGTGGCATTTTTCTTACAGTGGTATCCAAGTCCAGGAGGGGAAGGATCAGATGGTATCCCAGAGATCATTAGCTTCTGTTTAGAAACAACGTGGGAATTGTTCCTGTGTCTAAGTAGCTTCAGGCTAGGATGCGTGTTAGGGCACACGTTAGGAAAAAAAGCAGCTCACTGATGCCTGACAAGAAATTCTGAAGGTGACGGCCCTCCGTTTGGCACAGCACACTCCATCCTCCCCTGCAGTGGCCGCCTCGGTGAGTTACCCCCTGTGAAAAAGTTCCCGATTGGTGGTACCTGGGCTGGAAGCATTTCCCTGAGCTTTGAAGTTTCACAGCCAGGTTGTGCTCTGTCAGGAATTGTGTGCATGCACACATGGACCTCAGCACGGACATCGGGTGGGCTCGATACAACGCAGAGCTCCCAAGCCCTGCAGCATGACAGAAAAACAGGCTCCTGGCACAGAGCGGTGGGAGCTGTTGACCCCAAGAAGAGCAGGCAAGAGGGAACAGAGTCCCTACCTGTAAAAGGAGGCTGGTGGAAAAGAGCAGGGCTTCAGCAGCCTGGCCATGTAGGGCCCCTCCATCCTCCAGAGTCAGCGCTCCACAGTGCTAGATCCTGCCGCACACAGGGTAGTGGGACAGGAGCAGCGGCCCTCAAAGCACTGAGCTTGCGTGTAAAAATAAGGGTCTAAATCTAGCGCAGCATCCCAAGCTACAGAAGGGGGTGTGAAATGACATCCTGTCTCAGCCTTTACAGTAGTCAGGCTGCAATTTTATGTTAGAGTGCAGGGGTTTTTTGTTGGGTTTTTTATTTTGGCATCTAACAATAAAAAAAGTATGATGGCATGGCAGTGTATAATAATGTAAAGATCAGATATTTAAATGAAGGAGTGTGACTTAGGACTCCACATGGCCAACAAGTTCAGTGATGAGTGAATTTGTCAAAAGAAAGACCTGGTTCCTTGAAACTGAAATGAGTTTCTAATTCATACCAAACGGAAACAAAACCACAGAACTATATTACAAGTAAAAAAAAAAAAAAAAAAAAAAGGTCTTTTGATAGGTGATACAGTGTTTTAATATTTCATTTTGAAATTGATGTAAATAAATAAGAGTGACAACTCACCTGAGCACACAGTCAAATATTTTCACCAAATACAACATTGTGCATTTACTCAAAATGCATGGTTCTTCTTGTTCTTCTTTTAAATCAGCCTTTTATACTCCTCCAAATTCAATTTTTGCATTTTCAATTCATTCTGAATTAATTTTCCCCTATTTTTCCACTCATCAGACAACCAGAAAACATTCACAAGCCCATTATTTTAGATTCCTAAGTAGAACTGTGTAAAAAGTGACAGTGAAAGGTTACTTTGCTATTGTTGTTTATTTTGGTTATGAAACTGGAATAAATTACGTTAGAAGTAAACGTATTTGCTGGCATAGCAACAACAGCAAAAGGTATTCTGCTCTTCCAGACCCAAATATTAAAAAAACAAACAAACAAACAAAACAAAAAAAAAAAACAAACAAAAAAACTAACAAGGATCAAAGGATCAGAAGGTATTTTAGATATTATTATCCTGAATTTTGGGGCAGATCACTTTTTCAAAAGAAAAATCAGAGGGTGTCTTGTGGGAAAAAAAAGGGTACCCTAGTGCTGAAGTGAAATATTTTAGCCTTAAAATTAAGCTATGGGGATTGCAGCCATCCCATATTCAAATTTAAAATTAGTCTTGTACCTTACAGCTCTACAGCTGGCTATCTGATACATGTGAGGTTGGGTGGAGCAAAGTAAAACAACTAGTTTATAATGTCTCGTAGGTATAAATAAGGAAATCCAGTAAACATAGCTGAAACCACATTTGTGTTTCATGAACAAGCTCCCTGCTATGGTCCCTTCCATCACTGAGATACACAGCACTTATAGAATCAGATTTATGCCTGAACTTTATCATGTTTAAGAATCACTGCTTGCTTTACTATCAAAAGTGCAGACCATCACGTAACATTTTTGCAAAGGCTTGCTTTTTTTTTTTTTTTTTTAACTTGTGATTTCCTCACTAGTTTAAAACATTTCTTGCAAGTGCTACTTTTCAAAGTGACTTCACATGGAGAAATCTATTTTAAGGCATTTGTTAATTCAACATCAGTGAAGTGTGGAGCGAAACGAAAATGAAGTCATTGTTCATTTTAAGATTATTTATGTCATATTCAATGGTGGGGGAAATTTTGCAGAGCTCTGTTTCTTTTCTCAAATTTATTCCAACAGCTTGGTGCACTTATTAATTCTTATGGATTTCATTATTTAAATGAAGATGATATACAGTTCTCTGTTTCCTTTTCTGGGGTCTTTTTCGTCTTCTCTGAATAATTTCTCCATCTGGATGCATGCTCAGCCCTTGTCATGAATCACAGATAAAGCAGAAATCCAGTATTGTCGTCCCATTTGTTGTCTTTTTGTGTTTGAATAGCTGGTTTAGCCCCAGCCATGCAACTTATTTTATGTGGACATACTCCAGAACCAAAGCAGTAAACAGGGAATTAGCAGTGTATTCTAACACAAAAATTAGGATAAGCATTCATTTTTCCCGTGCTTAGGCGTGCTTATACATACGATTTTTAACATTTTCTTCAATCAGGATCTGGTATAGTTGAAACTTGGGTGTATGATCTGGTTTTCCTTCAGGTTACATGATAATAGAGACCTTCTTCCCAAGCTAGGGTTGTCTTTAACCATACTGCAGTTTTGTTTATGATCATATCGCATGTGTGACTTTTAATATTCTTTTTTTGTGGTTTGCAGTTTCTCATGCAATTTTAGGTTTTAAAATATCTCCCCCAGTCTCCTGTTATCATACAGTGCCTAGTCAGTGCAAAGTTTTATGCTTGGCACATAGAGCAGTTCATCTCAAAATTACATGTTATTTGCTTAATTTGGTATTTCTATTTACACTAACTCTAAATACCCACTTGGATCTTATGATCAGCTTCCAATTTATTTCTACTGTAGCATCCGGGCAGTTGCTATTTATGTCTTTCTAGTTTTTCCAGTGTGTTCATTCTGGTGAAAGTGTCCGTCTCATCACAGCTGCATTGCAGATTCACATATCCAGAATAATACAAGTGTTAAAAATATTTTAAGTCATAAGATTTTGTACATGTGAGAGAGACTTGAACATTGCAGATCATAGTTTCTAGTCTCCTAGATCACTAGGGGAATCCATAGCCTTGAGGGGCTCTAGACACAAGCTGACATGGCACTTCCTCAACATCAGATAGTCTGTGTGTCTTTATGTTTGTGGACAAGGTGAGGACAGACCGGTCCCAAACCTGCTGCCTGCTCTTCTGCCTATACCAAAGCCCTGAAGAGCAAAATGAATTGCTTTTGCTGGCGGGGGGGGGGGAGGAACTTGAACATGCTGGGCAGCAGCAGCAGCTGCTCAGGAGCAGGGCTGGAGGCATTGCTTGCTGGCTGCAGTAAGAGCGTGCTGATCCTACACTTCTCCATGTAATTTTACATTCTGACATCTCCCAGTTTCTTTTGAGGCAAGAGAGCTCTAGCCCATCCCCCATATTCCGGACATTAAAATTCAGTTTTGCCTATAATGTCTAGATGGCTGCTCTGCCTTTGAGACAGGTATATAGACTAGTCTGCAAAGCATAAGGAGAACTAAACTTCCAAGAAGAGGTTCCACAAAAGCACACATGTCCCAAACCCACAAATAAAAAAAAAAAAAAAAGAAAAAGATAAATTAACTTCTGCAACTTAGATGAGTGCTCTTATTATTGAGGTAGCAAATAAAAAGGAATCATCCATGTGTTCTGTAACAGTTTGGCCAAAGTTGAAAGAATAGGAGAACAAAGGCATGATATTATGGCATGGAGCAAAAGAAGCTTTAAAATACTGTTCCAGGAAGGGATGATAAAACGTTTAGGCTGGTCTCTGAAAAAAATGTAAACTTTTCAAAACAGCAAACGCTATAGCAAAGACATACAAACCAGGACTTAGAAGCATGATTCTTCCTAGAATTAGTGGTAGCTGTGCATCTACATCTATAATGGCTTTGAAAACTCAGCCTATAATATTCTTTGTTAATCTTTTCCCTCATCAGGTATGTAGGAAGGAAAATATTTTCTGTGACTGAAAACACAAGTAGTTGTCCGTCCAGAACTACTGGAAACCATGCCAAGTTGTCTTAAGTGCTAGGCAGGCTATACATATTCATTCATATAAAACCAACTGAAAAATGTTTAAATTCTTGTAAACAAAATTAGGGGGCACAAGTATTAGAGTTTTATATGTTCATACAAAAATGCACAAGGTTCCTAGTGCACTGTAAAATGAAGGAGCGAAGAAGGCCAAAGTCTTTAACCATCTGAAACAATCTAATCATCCTCTGGAAATGCACTGTTTGGGGTGACTATGTTAACTGAAAATGGAGTGATTAAATAAAGTCAGGCTGATAAATCTCCTGAGTACTATCAACTTATTTGTAATATCATTGAAGATGAGTAGTATGACTGGTGTCTCAAGTCTAAAAGCTATGACATTCAGAGGAAAGTAATTGAAGCCTGCCATTCCAAAGCCCTGGGTACATGTTCAGATACTATCAATGCAAATTTTACAGCCAACGATTTGCATCAAGATAAAAATTAATTCTTCTTTTGGCTGCCTTGGGATCAATCCATGAGAGAGCACAGGAAGGAATAATAATAGATTTGTAAGTGACTATGTATCAACCATGACTTTAAGACAGGGAGTAAGATAAACAGAAATAAACCTACTCTCTCAGCTTCCACACCAGAGAACACCAGTGAAGACCAATAGACTTTCTGTCTCATAAAAGCATACAAAAATGCAGGCACGGACAGAACAGGAGGGGTGACTTTCAATAGAAAGACCCCTGATTGAAGGCAGCCCAATTCCAGCAGCCCCTATTAAGCACAGACTACCAGTTTACGAATCACAACTTATTCCAGCTCTGTGAAAACTCAAAGAAAGGAGTGTGGATGACACCGAATATCCAAATGATTTAGTATTTTATCATTAAAATTATGGTATGTGTTGCCCCTAGATGCTGATTGGAAGACAGTGCAGACTGTAAGTAAAAACATCGTTAACTTCTCCAGTGCCATATTGCTTTCAGGACATTTTAAGATGCCTTAAGACAAAGACCCAGGTAAAAAGCACACTAATAATTCTGGTTTGAGGCAACAAAGATATATGAACGCATTGCCTCAGAAAGAGTAGACAACAGACTTCTGACACAGGTAAAAGACAGATTTTTTGCTATGTGCTTCATCCCTTCTATGAGCCTCTCAGAACAACTGACCAGAAGTTAAGCATCTAAACAGAGAAAAGCTGCAGCTCTTCAAGGAACTATATCACCTCTACCTTTTGGGGGCTTATTTGTTCTAAATATCATCAATTACAGATTCAGTTGCAAGCATTTACCGTGCTTTAGTTCATCTTACTCTTTGAGCTATTCCCCTGCAATGGTTGGCTGAATTAAAACAAAGAGCTAGCTGAGTGCCCCTTGCATACCTCAAGGACGATAATTAATCTCATCACCATTTCTGCTAACCACCCTTCTCCAAACACACCAGAGCGCAGAACTTTGAAACAGTCAATGAAAACATAACTCAAACCCAGGAGATTCTCTAGGTCACAGAAACCTGAAGGAAATAAAAAATTGCTGCACATATTCCTAGCAGGCTTCACAATGAGAACAAAAACAAATCAAAGTCAACTATTAGATAAAAATGATTCAGCCTTGTTGCTTGATTTTAACTCAATGAATTAGTTAGTGCATTCCCTGTATTAAGCCTGGTTTCCATCGAAAAAAATACTTTAAAATATTAGATTTTGCTGGGTTTGCTTGTAAAACTGTATTTTATATTAACAGAGGTAAAAGTGCTGCAGTGGTGAATTATCTGTCTACATTGGGAGACATTATAATCTTAGTCTTAAAAAAAACCCAAAACCCCCTCTCTGGCAGTTTTCTGGTAGGCATGCCCACAGGTTTTTCTTACTCCCCTGGGTATAACTGGAGAACAAGGACCAGCTTCTGTAGTTCTCACAAAGGTCTCCAAAGCCTCACTGACAACCCTGATGTCAATGACTAACTTTAGTAAGGATCTTGGGCATTAGACCACTGAGAGTTTAACTCTTTATACTTAAAATTATAATTTCTGATTATTGTTAGTTTATATATATATTGAACTGATGGTGTATAATTAAAATATTTTATATGTATATGAAATGGTCTTTTTACTCATGAGTCAAAATATCATTTATTGCTCTGTATTTCTAGCACACCATTAAATCAGTGCATTCATCGTGCTTCTGCACTGGAAGTTTAGAAAGTATCACTCTCCAAATCATTTGTTTTTCTGCACTGCTTATATCTAAGGTAGATAATTTGGATACAAATCTGTTTTTCTAAATGTGAAACACAAGGCAGCCTACAGTCATCATGACTATTCAGCAGTCTTTTCAGAGTAACCCTACCGGAAGGCAGCTCAGAATCTTCACTTTATTTAAAACCCTGCTTTCTCTTTGGACAATAGCAAATAAAAACTTCAATTTTGCAGGTGTTTGTTACAACTTGTCCCAAATGGCTTGATTCTACAAAGCACAAGGAGTTGCAGAACCACTGAAATACTTAAGCACTGATTTAACTTTAAGCAAGCAAGCCTACTGATTTCAGTGAGACCATTGGCATAACCATATCTTGAACCAGCATGCACCCAGTATCTCTGATTCAGGAAACTGCTAATGCACGCTCTTATTTTTACATGTAATCAAGAAATCCCTCTAGCCTGATGTTAAGCAGGAGACTTTCACAGCACTGAATATCCATGAGAAAATACATGCTTTCTGCTACCAAGATGACATAAAAATCTAAGAGACAACTCAGCAAGCTGTCCTCATTTCCATGTATTCCAAATGTAAAAGAGATACATTAACGCATGGTTGCAACTCAGCATAGTTAAAAGTGGATTTGAATTACCTCAGGCTGTTCTCTCCTTGCTTACATTCACAGACAAAACCAAATTAGAGCAATGCAAGTTCATTAGGACTTTGCAGCTCTCCTATCACATTGAGTTTCTTTGTAAGCCAGCGACTCTTGTGAACTAGATGCAAAAGACCCAGCAACTGAGGTCAATTTGAGGACAAGCTGGACTGCAAGTGTGTAGGTTTTTGTCAGAAGCTGCTTTAAGGGATGGCTCTCACAGAAAGCTTGGAAGCACCTCAAGAGATCATCTAGTTGTCCCAAGGCAAGATTAGGTCAAATCACATCATTCTTCACTAATGCATGTTCAACCTGTTCTTAAAGACTTCCAGTGGTAGACATTGCTCCTTATCTTCTCTAGTCGATCCAGTGCTGTGCTTCACTATCCCTCTTCTTTGGATATCTTAGCTGTCTCGGGTAAATCTCCCTTGCTTTGATATATGCTATTAAAATAGAAATAAAATCCTATTAAATAAAAGCCCGAAGCAGATACTGAGAGGAATTTATTCCTTACTTCTTTACATTCTTCATACATTTGAAAACCTTATTGTACCTTTCCACAATCTTCTCCAGACTAAACAGACCTAATTCTTTTCCACTTTCTTCTTAAGCTGTTTCCTAGGTCTCTGTTGACTAACTTGGGGACCCTGAAACCCCATATTTTAGCCACTTTATTTGGGCTTTGGTGGCAAAACCAGCAATTTTTCTGAATATGATTTCAAGGCACTTTGAAAAAAGTAATTTGTCTAACTATTACGCAAACTACAACTGTATTTAACTATAGTACAACTATCACTCCATACAGATCCAACGTTTAGACCACTTTTTGCAGATGAGCAGCCCTATTGGATTCTGTGAGCTCCCAGGAAAATCCGTCTCTGGTTCCACTGCATTCAGTGACTTGGTTAGAGGATAAACAACAGAAGCAGAAAGATTTGGCTAAGTAAGAATGATATATCAAAACACCCAATATTTTAATGAAAGAAACTGAATATCCACACATTTGCACTTCTGTACAATTTTTGTGATATATATATATATAATTTTAAGCTGTTTACAAATAACATTTAATGCTTCAAATATTACATAATGTTGATATATTTCTAGCAGAAATAAATATATTGCACTTAAAAAGAAACTTTTCATTAGATGTTGCTTCATAGTTTATGTTCATAACTTCTTTTTCCATAAAAAGATTTCCCCCTACCCCCACCCCATACACACAAACACACACTTCAGTACATGGTGAATGTGCTCACGCAATGCATTATAAACAACAAAGTCAACACAGCAAACAGCAGAACTGTGGTACATTCTGTTAAAGAGGTTACATCCAGTTTTCTACCTTCCTTATTTTGAAAAAAAAAAAAAAAAAAAAAAAGAAGGTTGTTTAAATGTGCTAAAGGTAAAATACAGCAAACTGTATTTTTTGTCCTTAAACTATCATTAAAAGTTACTTCAGAGTTTACTTAAATCACTGCTTAGTTTTCTTTTAAAAAGATAAAATAAAGAAAAAAGAAGTTGTCATTTGATATACTAGAGACTATATGCAAGGACAGTTTATTACAGAATAATACATAAATCCTCTGGCGAGCAAGTAAGTGGTTAGTAAAGAAACCACATCTCCTGCAGCAAAAAATGGTCTGTAAGGAATAGTGAGAATAAGATCTCCCTAAACCCAAAATTAATCTTGCTTTGAGTAGATATATATATATATATATATATATATATATATATATCAATATATCAGACAAATGCATCTAAATCAGCTTTGTTAGTTTTTGTGATGCCTTTGTTGGATTAAAGACCTGAGGCTGTTGTCTATCTATGGATAAAATGCGAATCCAGAAAACACCTAAAAGTACTTGTAACACTTTAGAGGATAATCTTATTCTCTTTGAAAAGCATATTCAGGCATGTTCTCTCCACCCTTCTTTTAAAAAACTCAACAACATAAACCAGCACCAGTTTGCTCAGCCAAGAGAGCTCATAAAGGTGAAGAGTACTTCTCATGGGATATAAAAATGTGAATTATACTGGAAAATAAACTCTAGATTATATTTGGCATTCCTAGACCATCTACCAGCAACAGATGTTCTGTCCTGAAAGTGATAGAGTTTTGACAGCAGTACAGCAACTCCTTAAATAAATTATATTGAGTTGTTCTCAGAGTAGTACAGATAATTTTTTTTAAGGAAAAGCGATTTCACTCTTTAACTGATTAATTATGAATTTACATTCATTTTCTTCCAATTGTGAAATCAGTGCTAAAGCTGATTTGTAGTGGGGTTTTAGTCTTTTCTGTAGAGCTCCTATATTGTTGCTGTCGCTACAGTCACTGTTCTTACACTTTATGTTTAGGTGGGAATGTTGAATGAAATCCTGTCTCCATTGCAGTCAAGAAATTTGCATCTGACTTCAGTGGGGAGGGAATTTTATCCCTGGAATCACTCCCATGCTGCCCCTGCCCACAGGAAGGTGAGAGGGACATGGAGAAGAAACCTTGTGAGGTGGAAAGACCTCTTCGTTGTGTGGCCTGTGGTATCTGTGAACTTAATCCCCTCAACCTCAACTCACACAACAGGTTTTGGAGGTAGGATTTTGAGGGCAAAGAAGAGGAGGTGACAACTGGATATACCTATTGACCTTATTCCTGGGCAAGGCTCTCACAAGCTGCCTTTGTTCCCTTGCTTGGAAGCCGCACATGATTCTGCATTAGTGGGGAACCCAATGGGTTTCTGATGCAAAGGAATTAAATGGTTGAAGAGCAGCATATGCCAGAGAGAAGCACTGGGAGGTATGAGCACACTGAGATTTGATCTGACTGGAAAAATCAAGCTGTGGATTTTGACAGATAGTTCTTCATCATCTACAGTATGAGGCTTCTCAGAAAGAATTTGGATGAGGAATTGGCCTTATCACATTTTTATACAGGGACAGTCTCCTGCCATAGTTTTTCAGATATGAATCACATTTTATTTGTAGTGAAAACCACTTATCTTTCATTTAATATTTTTTGTCAACGACGTTGTTGGAATCCAGTTTAATTCTTCAGGAAGACCCTGGAGAATTTTCTCTGAAACATTATCAGGGGCATTTCTGCATGCCAAATAATGGTGTTTTCAGAACAGGGACTGGGACAGGACTAAAGAGATTGTACAGTTTATTTCTCCGAATTTGCTTCATGGAAGAAGGACAGGTCAATGCACGAGGAGTCTTTATGTGACTTGTCAAACATGCCTAAATCAGCCTACCTGTTCCAAAATTATTTCTGGAGTCATGTAGAAGCTGCCTACTTACTTGACCATTTCCCAGTGGAAATATCAACATTAAAGCCACTGGCTTGAATTCTGAACCTAACCATATCCCCTGCAACTCCAGATAAGTTAATGAAGCTGCAGAAGGAAATAAATAAAAGATGCAGAATTTCCTCACAGGCTTTAGTGCATGTCATCATAGGGCTTTCATACAACTCTAACAAAAGTCAAGCAACTGAAGGAGAGGGATTAAAATTTTCTTCCAATTCTCCCCTGAAATTCTCATTTCTGTAGTATCATATATGTACTTGAAGAGTTACGTTGTTGTGGGGCCAGAATAATTTAATTTCCTGAAAAATAGAGGGTTTATATCAAAACAAGTCATAAGTAGACACAACCTTGCAACATGCACTTGTCAGGTGAATCTGATAGCCTGGAGCAAAATCTAGTATTTGGGTACATCAAGCCAACTTCAGTGTCTGATTCTAAGCCATTTAAATACTGCAGAGCTTGGCCTATTATATTAATACATGGAACTCTTGTAGTATCTCTGAACTCAGAAAATGTAAATAAAGGTTCATTTTCATTCACATACAGAGCACAGAAGTTGTAAAATGCCTCAGGTCATTTTTTATCAGCAGGTCCAACAGTGAGTAAAGGGAAATTAGAACAATACTGCAGATAGCTGAGTTAATTGAAATAGCCAATTTGACAAGATTTTAAATCCAGCTACTGGGAAATACATAAAGATGGCCCTTATCTGTGGAATGCAAGTACTGACCTACAGTAGAAACTGGGAAAAGCCTGGGAGGTTGTCACTGCTCTGTGTGATGGGGCATGTAAGATGAGGCAATGAGACAAAAAAAGGCACGTCACTTGCCTTGCACTTCACAGAGATGGGAAGTATGTGACTCAGTGTGCTGCACGCGACTTCTTACCATATGATACCAACACACACTGGTCAAAAGTAGAGGAGAATAGTGCCAAAGAAGTCTGTATTCCACTCTGTGTTCCAGCTCCATACAAATCTTTAATATATGAGATTGTATTGCTAGTTCTTTTTTATCAGTAAATGTGTTATCATCTATAACTTGGATGCAACTCTACACAGAAACTCTGTGTTGACTTCTTATTTACAGTGAAATCCCAGCTCCTGCCACACAGAAAGCCAGCATCATACTGGTAGTCTTTTCAGCAGTGCAAAGGACTCATGCTAGATCTCTGCAGAGAGGTCATTTTTCTTTATACCTCTTCAGTTCCTCCGTTGCATCAGACATAACATACTAGAAAAAGTGGACAGTATTTTGAATAAAATAACTAATTACTAACTGAAAAAAGGCAGATATGAACTTTAAAAAGTCACATGTGAAGTTTTGCACTGACATTTTCCCAAGCAAACTCCACCATTCTACTGGGACATGGAAAAACAGACAGCACAACCCTCATTTACCTGGCCAAAGAGCTTGTATAACAACAGCCATGACCAAACCCGAGAAAATCAGAAGTAGAAGGACACTCCAATGCCACTCATTTTATACCAGTCCATTGATTTTTTTTTTTTTTTTCTGGAGAGTCTATAGACTGATCTAGCCTGAAATTCAGTTAACTTGATACACATTTGCATCTAGAAGCAGGTCTTCAGTGTCAAGTGCAGTAGCAAAGAAGAACTGATTTAAAGATTTGATATCTTGGGTTTCTAAGTTTAAGTAACAGATTTTCCCAAATCAGCATTTTCCTTCATCATACCTTAATAGACAGTTAAATTGCTCCTCCTAGGATATAGGACAAACTTATTTTCAGACCGAAGGACAGAATACATCATTACTGCTACAGTCCTGTAACACAGTTCTTTTTTTTGGAACTGATAAGTGTTTTGTGAAAGAAACAAAGAAAGAAAGAAAGATTTGTTAATAATTTTCTCTTTGGAATTATAGTAGCAACTAAGAAATACTGCTTTTGGTGAATATAAGCCAGTCTTTTAAAAAGGACGGTGGTCTTCTCCACTTTGTCCCGTTCCCAGCAAATGTGTGCTGAGATAGCCTAGTACATGCTCAAAGTTATAGAAATACATTTTTCTGTTTAGATGCTCATCGGTCACAAGAAGAGATGAAGATGAGTAAGAGTATTGCCTTTTTCAGAATTTTTCTAGCATATGAAAAAAGACCTATACACAATTAATTTGTACACTGCTGCATAAACGTAATCTCTTTCCCCTAGGAATAATGCACCTTTGGAACAAGCTGTACGTGACCAAAAATCCTGGGAACTTTGGGATCCATTTCAGCTGTGTTACAGATAGATCTGTGAGCAGCTTCAGGCTGCATGCTCTCTTCTTGTGATCCCTCCACAGAGGAATCTATATCCATAATGCATTATCTTAGCTGGTTTGTTATGAGTTCAGAACTCCTGCCACAGGCCTTTCAGGAAGGTCCCTTGTATTTTTCATACCAAACTCGCACATTTAATATCTCGTGTTTCTCTTGGCTTACGTCACTCATACAAACGGTGTCATCACTGCGGAGGAGTGACGCAGTCCCTGGATAGCTGCATAAGGACCCTGCTGAAAATAATGGTGGTACCTAGGCATGTGGAAGGAAGGGAAAGTGGGGCCACTACCTTGCATGGAGCTGGCTATAGCAGAGGGTGTAAGAGGCATTCCCAGGCGGCTGTACGGAGGCAGAGATCCTTGGATTGGATGAGGAATGGGTGTAGCTATGGATGCAGTGCTGGTACCCAGGGCACTCAAAGATTGTGGATGCTGAAATCCAGGAAAACTGGTTGAGGAGGATACCCAGGAACTGAGGGACAGGTTATCAGATGTTGTAAAGGCTGATCCTGCAAGCAAAGAGAAAGAACACCTGATGTTTGCACTGCAACGCACAAAGCTGGAAAAAATAGCAAAAAGGAAGAAATAGTGTCTTTCACAGCAAGACTGATTTTAATGACAAGTTGTCATTGGAAAGACTTCCCAAATACTTCTCTCTCATCTTTCTTTGTATTATTATTTGCCAGTTGCTGTCCTTTATCACTACATTTTAGACAAATTTCCATTTTAAGAAGCTGGTTGTAGTGGCTTGAACAGTAAAATCAGTTTTGCATGTTGGATATTTTTGGTATTAAATACTGAAGAACCTTGTAATGCTGCCACTAAACATTGAAGCATCTACTCTGATGTGGAATCTAACTGCATTACACCCCTCTTTTGAAGACATGTTTGTAGATTTTTACATCAGATCCTCAGTAGAACTGGCTATTTTTTGCTAAAATTTCAGTCTGGCAAAAATGCAGGAAAAAGTAATTTGCACTACAAATGTCCCGTGTCCCCCCCCTTTTTTTTTCTTCTTTTTTTTTTTTTTTATCCCAGTAAAACTTGTCAACACTGCATCTATTATCTCAATCTTACTTTTTCTGAAATACAGAACAAAATTCTAAAATGTCAAAACATTTGTGATTTTTCCAACTGTGTACAGTGCTCTAAGAAAAAACACTACTGTTAAATCATAGAAAGAGATGCAGGGTTTTAAGTGAAATGCAACAAAAATATTAAAAACTTTCTCTCAGGGCAATTATCTACCTTTGATCAAATGGAAGTGTTTTCTTTGATTTTTTTTTAATCTGGAAAGTTCCAAAAATTATTTTCACAAACCTTCCACCTCTAAAACACTTTTTCTCTGACAACTGCAGAATCATTAAAAAAAAAAAGGAAAAATGTTTTTTAAAATTTGAACTACTTATTTTGACAGTAAAATTTTGTGGAAACATTGAATAATTTGTTTGTATAATTATACATGGTCATTTTCAAACAATCTGGTGACAATGTTGCCCTTCACTTCTGCACTTCCTCTATGGATCTGATCATCATCAGGTGTCTGATTTCTAGAAATGGGAAATACAGTAAAATCCTATAAATTCTTAAATTTTATTCCTATTCAAACAATAACGCAGCTCATGTCCCTTCTGTATTTTTTTTCTTGTCTAACTTTGTCCATTGAGAAAATGTCTCTTACTTTAAGAAATAAATCTATGGGCAATAATATCTGATAAAATATAATTTCAAGCCAATATTGCAAAACATTTTGAAACAACAAATTTGACAACAGGTATTAGTTTTGTAAATCTGATTCTAGAAAATATGTTCATCCAAATTGTGCAAAGAAAAAATATGAAGACATCTATCTGTCAAGGAAAACTTATTGAATACTAACCAATCATAGGCACATATTCAAAACAAAGCTATAAGCAAACAAAAATAGAAAGAAAAATGCAAAATATTATTTTTTTTAAATCATAAATCTCTTTAGGGATATATTCTCAAAACAGAGCTACTCATGATTAATTCCTCCTCTGCTTAATGAAACAAGGAAAAAGACCTAGTAACAGGAAAGAGAAATTGTGTCAATTCAGCACTAGAAACAGACTTGAACCCAATCCTGGCCCTACCATTGAACCAAATCCTAACTGCTGGGAAGTTTGGATCCAGAGCCAAACTCTAAGGCTAACACTATACTGACAGACCAGAGCAAATCCCGTTACAAAGCAGGGGATATCTGAACGTTATTGCACTACAGGGAAAGTGGGATGAGAATCTAGATTTGCCTAGAAGGTTTACATTTGGCTCCATTCCAGGTGGCTACTATGAATCCTGTGTGTGGATACTGGACCACAGGCATCCAGACATTATGCATTAAACAGTTTTAATTGGATTTATATATTTGATATCTGTTAATTCCTTTGAAAACAGGCTGCTTATGATAAATATACTACTGAAGGCTAGCCACTTCCATCTTTAGATGGCTGAAATTGCCTGAGCTGAGAATGCTCTGGGTGGGTGCTGAAGTAATTAGAGATAAATAGCAGTGACAGACTTCCTTTGTTCTACATAGAATAAAGTATATGATTCCTTCTCATGATCAGAGGTATGGAACACCTATGCTATGAAGAAAGACTGAGACAGTTGGGGTTGTTCAGCCTGGAGAAGGCTGCAGGGAGACCTGATAGTGGACTCCGGTACTTAAAGGGGGCCTATAAGAAAGATGGGTACAAACTTTTTAGCAGGACATCTTGCAATAGGACAAGGGATAATGGTTTTAAACTAAAAGAGGGTAGATTTAGACCAGCTATAAGGAAGAAATTTTTTACAATGAGGGTGGTGAAACACTGGAACATGTTGCCCAGAGAGGTGGTAGATGCCCCATCCCTGGACACAGTCAAGGTCAGGTTGGATGGGGCTCTGAGAAACCTGATCTAGTTGAAGATGTCCCTGCTCATTGCAGGGGGGTTGGCCTAGATGACCTTTAAAAAAACCCTTCCAACACAAACTATGATTCTGTAATTCTCATGAGGAACATCCATAAGCGCCCTTTCCTCCAACTGCAGTGGTCTCTAATTGCAACTTAGTACTCCAAAAAGTCTCACATACCACATTTGCCAGCACCAAAGAAATGTGGCCGAGGCCTCAGAGAGCCTGTAACACACACCACCCAGCAACATGTATGTATTTGGCTGTCAACTCTCATACATATGGAAGGGCATCCCTCAATTTTGCATGCAAGGTAATTTTAAAATGCATCAGAAAAAATGAAAACATCTGAGAGTTTCAGTAAGACCATTATTTGTCTCCTCACATCTTGGAGGACTTTTCCTTATTTAAGGACACCAGACCTAAACAGAGAGTGAAGGCAGTACCAGTTATTCATCTGCAAGAACAGTATGCTTTACCCTCTGTGCATGCCTCTGGTTGCCCAGAACAATCACATCCTATGCCAGCATATGGCTCCCAGTTTAGAAAAAAGCTGGTTGCCACAACTCATCATCTTCCTTGCTTACTCATTTGCCACATTGTGAGCAAATGCAGAACTGTACATGAAGAATGGGATATATTTTACATAAAATTAATTGTAATAAACTTTTCTTTCCTCTTATGACACCTTCCTAGGGATTCTCTTCAAAAGAGAAAGACTTTAATGGCCAGCTCTCATACTGAGGTTCACCTCATTCACTATGTCACTCCCAGAGGAGGACATCATATCAGGGAGAAATTTAATTCTTGGAGAGAGGGTGCCTTGCTCCAAGCACTTCTGACAAGGTGAAATTTAACACTTCAACAATAACTGGCCTAGGATCTAAGCTGACATGAAGCAAGCTAATCCGCCAGAAGTATGTGAAAAGATGGCATCATACCAGCTGAGGAGCTGCTTCAGAAACTCCACAATCTATGGAACTGGTCTTAGAATAGAGATGTATGAACAAGCTCACCTAATCACATTTTGCTGAAGAGCAACTTGTGGTTAAAAATAAGTGTGTTTTCCCTGCACAAGTCCGAAGAGCTTATGACCAGAAATAATGCTCTTATCTTAGCAACACTGTATGAAGTTAGAGGACAAGACAAGGGCACTGCCAGTCGGAAGGCAGATAGAACTGCTTTACCTCAAGTGGCTGTTGCATATCAGGCAGGTCACAAAGTCAACATGCAAAGTATAATGCAACACAAGTTTATGCTAGTCAACGATCCCACAGGATGGATTTGAGATCTATTTCCAGTGGCAAATTATGACAGATGCAATTTGTCCAGCAAGTATATCCACAAAGAACAACTCTGTCTTGCTACTACTTTTGCAACTGCTAAGGTAGACAAATTTGAGGTGAATTGCCTCAGCAGGAAAAGCACCTTTTAGAGACCAAGAGATAGTAATTAAACATCGGTTTTCCAGGGAGCTATGGACTTTTATTCCTGTAGAGGCAAAGCAGGTTAACCACAGCACGGTTGAAGATGCTCAGAACCAAGTCTTCTGTTCACAGAAGGCTGGAGGGGCAGCAAATGCCACATCTACACAGTACTTTACAAATGGTGCTGAGCCCCAGCTAGTAAGTCCTGCCCAGGCAGGCAGGACCTGGGGAGTGTTAGCTTGTTCTCAGCACCACGGTCATGAAGTTGCCTGGTTTTCAGCCATCTTGAAGGGGAAGCAGAGATAGTTCTGTTCTGATGACAAGAGCTGTATATAGGCGTCTCTAGAGTTCCCTCCTGAACTATCCGCCCACACCAGTGCCATGGGCATATCAGATATCCAGAAGAGCCATAAGGTAACAAGTATTCTTCTTCATTATAGGACTTCATGGCAGAGAGGTACAGCAGAGAAATGCTTCAGAGTACCCCAGTACTGACTGTGGTCCTCCTTTTCTCAAGCATAACTAGGTCACCGTAATTTACCTCATGAGCAAATTTTCCTACCTCTACTTTGTGTTGCCTGGCTGTCATCTCCAAGATCTTCTTCTCCTCCATAGGTTCGAATGGGGGATCGGGCATAGGAATGTTTTTGGATAAGGCTCTCCACGCTTTCTCTGTGAAAGGAAACAACCTACTGTATCAATAATATTATAAACAGCCTCCTAATTCATTAAATACAATGAACATGCTGTCTTTTCCCTGTTCAGACCACAGCTTTCTCACACAGAATCTCCAAAATTACCTGACAAAAGAGTTACCTCATAGCATGTCACTGGAAACGCTGAATTTGTCCTGCAGTGTTTTAACATTGCTGATCATCTCTTACCTGCGTGGTACTGCTTCTTCAGCAAAATAGCTTGAACTTCCCACCACATTTCCTTGTCTCCAGATCGTGAATATAAGACCAGCACTCTTCATAAATTTGAAAACGCAAGCTCTGGGGTTATTTGTGCTGGGTGATCAGTCTGGGTTCAAAGAGGCACCTGTGGTCCACCTCCTTTCGAACAAGCTTTCACACCATACAAGACCACCTCATTTAGCCCTCTCCAATTTTTTTTTTTTTTTTAAATCACGGGCAAGAGATAGATGTGTCCAGAAACAGCTCAGCTCTAACCATGCTCTCTCAGCATCAGAGTTGAGGCCAGTTCATAGCAGGAAGTCTACAGATACTACCGATCTCGTGCCACCTCTATTCTGGGAGGTTAGACGTGCCTGCCAGGCCCCCGCCTTGCTGGTGGCACAAAGCACTGAAGTCACCCAAACAATTTTTAAATAGAAAGAAGGCATATCTTCATGATAAGCCATAACAGTTTGTAAGGAAGATCCAACCTTACACATTCCCAGCGTGTTTCCATGTAAGTAGGTGGCATTATACCAAAGATGAATATGACTGAGGCACATTTCCAAAATGGTTTTGACCTTCTGTTCTCATTTAAGAAATCTAGGCATTGAAAGCTGTTTAAATCCACTGCTTGGTGAAGGTTTGGTCTGAATTTACCATTTTGCCATTCATACTTGCTAATGCCCTTCGCTCAGACAGCGTGGCTGTTGCAGAAATTCCAAGGAAAAATATTTTCCAAGTAACACAATAAATCACAATGGCACATGTTTTCCTTTCCTACAGAAAGCCCATTATGGTCATTTTGTCCTTGGTCTATCACTGGCATCATTACTTATGCTAGTCTCCTCGGAAAAAAATAAATAAAAAGGGGATCTTATCAAAGTGATTTACTTGTGTCAGGCTTGGAAGTGGACTGAAAGCAATGGCAGTTCCTACATAGAGGATGATATAATTGAATTACTGCCTTTTAAGTGATTGAAAACAGTGGGCATATCGGGACTATCTTGAAGAAGATTTTACAAAGAAAAAGACAGATGGCATTGTTTACATTATGTGCTGAATGCCTCTTGAAACTTTTTTTTTTCTGAAGCAGAATGTGAAATGCAAAGAATTTTACTTAGCCAGAAAGACTATCTGAGATGAGTACAGAATAACAGAATAACAAATTAGACCAGTGTTGTCTGAGTGATTTAGATACCAGTCTATAAACATATTCATAACCAAAGAATTACTAATCTTTAAAGGTCTGAAAAATAAATATGATTCAGGTGATTGTCTGTATTGTCTCTATTGACTTTATTTTTAGTAAAGGTTTGCATATAAAAATGGACATTACAGCATGTAATAAGATCCTGATGCAACAGAAACAATGCAGGCTCTAGTTTTAGTGCAGTGGGCCAAATTCATCTCCAAAACACTGGATCCAATGGTGGTTTGGGGATAAACTCACCCCAATAAATTTACATTTGAATTACCTAGAGGGATTTAAAGCTAAATCAAATGCCCACAATTATTGCAGACTAAATTCTTTCCAGATGGGTTTGTATGCTAGACAGAGAACTCTATTATTCTATATGGTTGTCTTCTTTTAAAGGAAAAAGAGATGACTTTTTAGTGAACCCTGAATCTCCAAAGTTTGAAACCAGGGAACTATGTGGTAGTTTTATTTATTTATTTTTAATGTTGTAATGTTGCAGGTAATATGCTAAAGGTTTTAGAAGATTAATCTCATTCATTGGCACAAGACGCAAAGTTTTTTATGGCAGAAGGAACAGTCTAACAAGGAAATCTGGATCAGGGGAAACAGCTAATTTCACAGAAGCCATTCCTTTTGTGCAACTGGGATTTAACATTCAAAAGTGTATATGCTTATCTTGCCTAACCCTTTTGGTGGTTTATGCTATAATCACAACACGCCTACTCAATTTTTCGTTTTAGGGGCTGTGGCTGTGATTCACACCATGAGTGCAAAGCACTGAGATTCGCACCACATCCTTCAGGTGGACACTCTTCTTTCCACATACAACACATGCTGCATATAAACCTCCAAACAGACCTATGAAATGCAAAGGCTAAGCAGGAAACCACCTAAGCATGCAAAAGGAAACAAAGAAAAACAAGGTGGTATATTTTCTCCATGGTTATCCCACCATGCACTGTTTCTTACACCTAGAAAAACAAGAGCTAAAGTCTGCACTCAGGTCTCCCCCATCCTGGACCTAAGTTAAGTAATAATCTTTCCTTCCCTTTGTGTTTCCAAGGAAAGGGGTGGTGGTCTCTGCATCATGCACAAATATTTCATGCTCAGAGAACACCACCCCGACATCAGATCTTCTTGAGTAACAAAGGAGTTAAAACTCGTCTAATCTATGGAAACATGTGGAGTTTCCCACATAGACTGGGAAGAGAAGGCCAGTCTCCTCCACCCTTTAAAGACAGAGGTAGGTGCTTTAGGACTTTCTCCAAGGTATATATATAAAAGGAAGCAAAACTTAAACAACAAAATGTAAGTGCCTGTGATATCTAGTTCAAAATGCAGGAACAAAGCTGGAAATCTGGACCACAGGATCCTGCTTATACCCTTTTTTTCAACCAGGGCTAAAAGGATTTAAATCTCAAAATCTTCCTGAAAATTCTGTTTATGGAAGTGTGAACTGTTTAGGATATCCAGAATATGGTGCTCTGTAGAGTGGACCAATAAACTAATTTTTTTAAAATCACAAAACATAGTAATAATAATAATAATAATAATAATAATAATAGTGCTACTAAGAGGGAAATATATTAATTTAAACCTCTGGCTTTATAGTTCTGTATGCAACATCTTCAGATATTTCAAGATATCTCAAGGTTCAGAGAATTTATGGAAATATTTTTTTAAATTACTGGAATGATGAATCATTATTTGCTCTTTTATGATTCTTCTCAATTAAAAAACCTAGCAAGTGAAGGGTATGGTGGAGTTGTTTTAAAACTTTCCTTTAGTATTTTTCAGAGCTCATCCACACTAAAGTGGCTGACAAACAGAGTGACTTCAAGTTACTCAATGCTCAGCTTCTGTACTTCTGTTACGTTGTGATCAGATACTTGTTATCTAATACTTGAACTTAACAATTTTTACCTTTTAATGTATCTTAGAACTCCATAGTTTCGTCTATTAGCAATAAATTAGCAATAAACTTTGTTTTGAGAGGTCACAAGCTGCCAGCTGGATAAAGGAAAGATGTCTTCTTTCTGTCAAACTCTTTTGTGTGGTCTACCAATAATTTTCAGTCTTCTAGACTGCTCTTCAACACACAGATATCTTGTAAATACCCAGAGGAGGGGAAAAACACATGCACAGGCATCATATATTACTATGATTAAGCTGTGCTATGTGTACAACTGGATAATAGTAGCAGATGACAGGCTGGAGCAGAGCAAGTTAGGGGCTGAAGCTGTTCGAGAAAATGAAGAAGGAACCATGTGCCAAATGGAGAGGAAAAACCTCAGCTTGTTTTGGCTAGCACACCCACAGAGAAGATACTGAGGCAGGACAGATGTGAGGAGAGGTAATAGGGAAAAGGAGCTCAGGCTAATCCAAATGAGCTGCGTTCTAACAGAAGCACCCCTTGAGCCCAGCCCTGTCAATAAACATCTGCTTATTATGAATGAAGCACTTCTCTCCTTTGGGCAGAACAGCAGATTTTGAACCAGGAATCGAAGGAAGTGAAAGGTTGGAGAATTTATCAATTAGCAAAGTTTTAGGGTGCACAGGGAGCATCTTGCCATTCTGCAGATTTTAACCTCTTGACTGAACATTTCACTCTTGTCCCTGCTGGCAATTGATTCCAAAAATTAAACCTCCAGCTACGGACGCTTTGTGTCTTGCAGCTACAAACTGAATCTTTGGCCTTGCTTATTTAACAGTGCCCTGTACATACAGAGAAGTCCCAGAGGATCAAAAGCAGATAGGAAAATCCTGATGTAGCTGACAAATGATTCACGAACACTCTACAGACTAAACCCAAGATCTAGCCATGAATATGAACTGGGAGACGGCAGAAAACAAAGCTGACTTGGGAAGCAGCTGAGGAGCGAGGCCCTGCATGAGGATGCTCACTTCCTTTTGCTGTCAACCCAGATTACAGAAATTCTCTTGGGAGATGGTAAAGTCCCAGATTACCCCGAGTAGGATCTTTAATCGAGATGAAAGAACAGTGCTTCTTTGTAGGTGGAAGCAGGCATCTCTTTGATGCTTCTTTGTGTCATTTTTTCTGCTCCTTTTGCAGTTACTCCGCTTCAGCTGTGCATTCACAGCAGCCTGATGATCCCCATGATCCTGATTCTGAAGCGCATGACCACAAACCCTGCCGATATGGAAGAGGGCTCACCTGGCCAGAGGGCACTGTCACCACTGATGCTGCTATGTGGCTGCATGCACCTGAAGCTATGGGTTTTCCTGAATCTGGCAGAGAGCACACCCAGGGGATGGAGACAGGAAGCCTGTCTTCTCCATTTGGGATGAGGAGGCTTCAGGCAATATATCTGGTTTTGGCAGAAGGTGTTAGAAAAGCTAACCCAGAACTAGTTTGCTGGAGCCAGGCCTGGGTTAGTATCCATCTTAGATCCATGCTACAGCTCCAAAGAGGATGAAGTTGATGTAATAGGCAGCCACTCATTCTACTGGAAGCCAGGTTCAACCTCCTTTGAAGACAATGTGCCAAAGCCAGTCTGCAGTGAGAAAGAGCAGTGGCAGAGCCAGGCACTCTGAACTCATGCCTTCTGCAGAAG